CGATTTTGTAAAAATCGGTTCGACTAGCTCCAGTCTCCCCTAAAAATATTAGAGCTGTAAACTGGTATATAAATCACAATTAATATGAAAAACATTTTATGATTATTTAGAAAATTAATCAAAATATCAACCATAAATGAAAATTTAATCTTCTTTGCTATTGCGCCAAATTTTTAATAATTTGTTCTGTTAGGGATTAGATCTCGATGAGTCTAGTTTTTTTGATCAATTATAAGATGTCTTGACTTGATATAGATTTTTATTCATGAATAAAAGGTCCTCTCATTTGTGCTTGTACTAATTGGTATCATTGCCAAAATATACAATAATTTTAATAATTTGAACCTATAAAATATATTTTTGTGTAATGCTTCCACTGTATTTCTTGGAGGATTATCTATAAAAATGAATATTTTATTCATACCATTTAAATTCTGAAATTAATTGGCCGTCAGATACATTTATATCCTATGAATAAAATTTTGCTAAATATTTAATTTTTCAATATCAAGATTTGATATACACAGATCAGAGGGAGATAACTATAGTATTTGTAAATTGGATAGAGCCATTTGATAAATCACTCGTTCATTGATTCAAAATTAAATCCAAAAGTGGAATAAAAACGGTTATTTTATTATAATCCTCAATTAGGTCCACGTAAATATAGGAACTATTTGTTTGCCAGTGAAAGTCGGTCGAGGCTTATGAATCCCAAAATATATTATTTCTCATTTACCTCAACAATCACATAAACCTCTAGAAATTCCTGGTCGATATTATCTCTTGGTTTTATAAGTTGTGATATAATATTCGCGATTCTCACAACTTCAGCCAGATCTATTTTTTGAAAAATATTTGATAAAATTGTTGTGTAATAAATAATTTATTAATACATTCCAATGAAAAATATCGGAGTCATATTAAATCTAATAATGTATCAGCTTCAGATAAAATATCTGTTTCAGGTGATCCTGATAGTTCTCAAAGGGCATATAAAATAGGCTCTTCTAGATCCAAAGAATGCTGTAACAGCTTGATGTCAAAGGTTCCATTTTGTCGAGCAAGCTTTTTGCAGTTACTTTTTCCCTATAGCACCAGAAGTCTCAAAAATAATTATATTCAGCAGACTCTCTCTATTTGAATATCTGAATATTTTATACACTCTAGAAATTTTCTAATCATAGTTATTAGTAGAGATAAATTAAATAAAACAATTTTTGGTTGATAAAATTTTCTTATATATCCATCAATGTTTATGGTTTAAAAAAAGTAAGAAAATAAACTTTTAATTTTCATGAGATAAAATATTAATATACAAGAAATAAATATTTAAATTAATTTTAACTGTTTGCTAATATTTAGAATAAAATATAACTTATTTGAAATAGAATACTTTGTAATTTATAAAGCCCTTTTTTTGTCAAAACTATTTTCTACGGGTTATTGATTTCTACATAAAGAATAAAACTACGTTTGTATTTATTTTTTATACATTTAATTTTTATGAATTATTTACTCTTAAACTATTTCATACATCTACCATGAAAAAACCATAAGATGAAAGTTTTTTTTCACACTCTGCTATAGGCACAGTTAATGAATTTTAAAAATTGTTCATTTTTTGAATGGTATATTCAATGACATATAATAATACCTAGACTGACGATTCATTCATTAAAAGTGTACATCAATACAAATCAGCTAGAGACGCCATCTTGGTTACTGTAATAAATATTAAAATTTTAAACGAGAGCCTAATTTTATATTATATCTGATGCAAACTTTATTAAAGAATTGCCTGTTCATCGAGATAATAAGAAAGTAAGTTATCAATTTAATATTAGTTTTTAACATGAAAATAATTATTATAAAGGTTACCAAAATGGCGGGTCCAGCTGATTTGCTTTTAACGACGCTTAAAAATGCATTTTAATGAATGAATCGTCAGTCTAGGTATTATTATATGTCATTGGGTATATTTTTAAATAAAAGTGAAATTTCTTAATTGAGCAACATCTGTAAATATTTATCTATATGCCGCTTCGAGAGAGGGGTAAAAGGGATTTGTCTCCAAATTTCTGACGGAACGTAGGATGTTGGCAGCCAAGGGGGGGGGGTTAAGATAAAAAAAATAAACACTATTTGTATATTAAAGATAAAAATTACTGATAAAAAATAAATTTATTAATAAATATTTATTTCCTATTCATTCACAGATAACATTTTAGTAGAGTTTTAAGTTATACATGCTCGTGGCTAATTTTGGAATACGGCTAGTAACAACTAGTTGATTGTCACCAACTGATGATTATTTGTTATTCCTTGCCAAAATAATCATGAGACCTGAGAGAGTTTAATTTGAATTGTTTTGAAGTTAAATGGCGCTCATCCTAAGATTTTAAAATTAATATCATGGAGTTGTTAGAGCATAATGGGTGGGTAAATATCGCAGGCGGAGGCCGTAATTTTTTTTAGGAGGGTAGAGGTAGATTTTGGAGTTTGGCTTCAATAAATTTTTTGTCATGTAGACGCGGCCTACATATACTATTGTAACATTTAATTAACAAAAGGACACCTAAGAACTTGATAAAATAGTATGCCAATTTTTTATTTCTTTCATAGTAATTTATTTATCCTAACAACCCACTTATTTGAAAATTCCAAATTCCTATTTAAACATTTTAATGATTTTCTTAAAATTGGGTTGTTTCTTGCCTGCAAGTGTTGTTAAATGGGCGAAATCCTAACAGCCAAAGAAATTCGCTGAACCTTGAGGAAAGAGTATATTTTCTTTTCGAATTAACTTTTAATTGCCAAATCCCTGTTAAATGAGCTATTTATCATCACCACTTGTTGGTGGTGAACCAATAACGCAGAAGCGACGGCGATTTATATAAATAATGAAAATAAAAATATTGAAAAATAAAAGTATTAATAACTAAAACTTTTTGCTTTTCTATCTTCTAGAAAAAGATTTTTGACCATAGGTCACTGTCTAATGTGGGCACCATTTTGAATTTGCCAAACTTAGACAGTCTCTCAATTTATTAAGCCGTTATTAGATTATCCAACCATTTTCAAATTTAATTCATAAATCATTAAAATTATATATGCATATGTCGTATTAATATGGATTTATAACCCACGGGGATTCGGAATTTTTTAATTTTAAATCAATTACTGAGGAAATTTGGAAAATTTGATTTAAACGGAAATATATTCCATTATGTACACCAACACTGTGGATTTCAGACCATATTACGCTGAACATTTGAACCACACTTAATTTATATTCATTTTTATATAGATTTCTGATATAAATTGAAAATTATACAAAATATTTTTCCAGTTAAAGACTTTCCAAATTTAAAAATCGTCTCAATAAATGATATAAGTAGAGATTCCAAATCAAAAAAAGTAGCGGGGAGAGGCTTAGCCCCTCTTGCAATACACTCCTGCTCTACCCCCATCGCAATATCTGCCCTTGTCCAGTATATGCAAATCAGAGATCATGACTATGACTACTATTTAATTACTCATTTCCCTTATTTTTAGAGATCCTCTCGTAGACCAGGAAACAACCTTCATTACCTAATCCTGGTATTATTTATAATCTTAACAGCTACCTTTTTCACTTATTCGGTTAATACAAATCAAGATCCGTCTTTTGACGTTTTGCAAATTTTTTAAACAAATTTAGCAAAATAACTAAAGTAAATATAAATTTTTTTTATAGAGTTTATTTATTAATATAAATTTTTTAAAAAATAAAAAATTTATCAATAACATCCCATTATCCACAAATCGAATATATTGCCCTAAATTGCTTTAAAATATTTTTTGTTGATCATGGTATTAAACTTTATATATTAAACCTCCAATTGCACTTTGAATGGGAACTCCTATTTTTATAGGTAAGCTAGAAAAATTGAAGAAAGTTCCAATATATTATTCATAATCCAGAGCGCTATTAGTTTCATAATTGAAAGATAAATACTTTTCAAAACAAAAAGGAACAAAGAAAGTTTATCACTAAAGTCTATATTTTTCTCTTCTTCTATCTATTAATAGCGGGGCCCTCATCTAACAAAAATCGAGTATAGGTGCTGTTGTATAAAAATATATAGTTCAACAAGATCAGGCATCAAGCTATTAGAATTTATATTTTCGCCCGCCTGCGGCGGGAATGGCCCTGTAGGTCTTCCCTTCTACTGCTTATTTCTTTTATTTTTGCATTTCTATCGTGTACGGAAGAATTTTAGTATGCCTAAACTGAGATAGGCATCCTGATCGTATTTTAAAATAAAGTATCCAAATAATTTAAAAATTTTATACCTTCGAAACCATTATCAAAAATCCATTCGCGACTTCTGAACTAGTGGTAAACTCAAACATCTGCTCTGCCTAGCATTAACATCGGATTGAGACGTGCAAAATGTTAATATTTGAAATTACACAGTTTAAAATGTGTAGATCTTATATTTATATTATCGTGGTCTTTAATTGGAAAAATATAAATTAACCTATTTTTGTGAAATTAAATTAATAAAACACTAATTGCGTGTCCTGATTCTAGAGAAATTATTATTTTTCTATTATATTTTTTAGAAATTTTATATTATATAAGCCTGCCCCGTGTCTACAGACCGACACACAGAGCTCTTAAACCGTACAAATATTTTTAATTATGTTATATCTGTAAATTAAGTTAATAATATTATCTCACTCAAGTTTACGTTGATTTATTCACGTTTATATAATTGGCAATTATAATTAGAGTTTTCTGGATTATTTTATAGATTTATAGATCATAAACAGATAATTTATAACGAATAATATTGATACCAATTAAACTAAACTGTTTTTAAATATCATAAAAATTTTAATGCTATGTAAACATAAAATTTAAGTTATAATATAGCTAAAATTGCAAAAAAAATTAACGAATAGAATATAAGATGATTAAAAAGTTGATAGAATGTAGAACGTTTCCAGACATTTGTAACTTTTTTTAATGCCAATATACTCTTATGTTCATAATGAATGTTTATTTTACAGTTATGAGCCGTAAAAATTTATAAAATTGGATCTATAAAAATAATGTTGAAATCTCATTCCCTACCCTGGATGAGTTGGTTATATTGGGGGAAAATATTTGGAATAAAATAATTGAAAGCTTTGATAATTTTCTGAATTTAATGAGAATCCGAATGGTAGACTTAACATGTTATCAAATGCATCAGAAATTGTCGTCTGAATACTGCTATTCAATGTCTCATATATTGTTGAGGTGTCTATATTACATTGTTTTCCAGGAGGCGAATCAACCCTTCTGTAAAGATTATCTATGCTGTGCAGAAGTTTTTTGCCACATTTTACCAGAGGCTTTACGACAGATGACTGATATATGTTAGAGAAAGAAGATGTTCTTATTGTTTCTGATTTTTTAGCATGGCATTCGTCAAAATCTGAATCGGTTAATTGTGGATAAGGCTTTGAAGGTATAAAATTATCTCTGACTTTATTATTATAAATGACATTGTTGTGATATTTATGGAGCTTCTGTTGCATAATCATGAGGTGTTTTTTCTTCGTTTTATACCTCCTATTTTGAAACCATATCTTAACCTAATTTTTTTTATGACATATAATTAAAAAATATTTAATATATAATGATACATGCCAATATTCTTTTTAAAATTTGCATGAAATAACAGCAGGGACATGCGAAATCGGCAACCACTTAGAGTTTGAGTGTTCTTTTGTATACAAACTAAAGTACACATAACTAAAGCAGAATTTAAATTTTTAGCATCCTATTTTTGTTCTTTTGGAGATACCAAAAATCTTAGTATGAAGAATAACCTAGCTTAACGATTGTCTTTCAATTAAAGATTTACTAAAAAGAAAAAGATAAGATTAAAAATAATTATCATATCAAAATAAAGTGCAAACATTCTTTTTCTAAAATCATTTTTATTTATTTCAATGTGGCGATCGATTAACCCCATCTAAAGTTTAAAATTCTCAAAAAATAATTCGTTTCTCTAATTTTTATAAATTTTAAAATGTCACTAAGATCAATCTATATCTGTAAAAATAAATCTAAAAGCCAATATATCGCGTTCATGAGGAAAATTGATGAAAACATTAAAAAAAACATAAGTAATTGTAATACGAGTAAATTAAGTGTTTTTCTTGATTTTTTAATAAATATTTTTCCGGTGGAAATTTCAATGGAATAATGGTCAAATCTATTTATAATATACTAACATCAATACCAACAAAATTTTGCTTATATAGCAGGCATAAAACCAGCCCTTGCCCTGTCTCATAAAGTAAAATTTATGTATAATTTTCGAGTATAGGCCTTCTCTTTGCCTCTATAGACGTTTAAATGACAGTTCATCGAACTGTTGTACGTACAAGTATGCGCGGCTTGCCCACAAATCATGTAAATTAATCCAAAGCCTTTTTAATATCCAGTTTGATGGAAATGAGGAATAAGGGTATGTTGTATCCAAAACTAGAGGGCGAAAGGTTTTTATCACGTATTATTTACTTCTTACCAATAAGAATTAAAATATTGCATAAATATGTGATGTAGAATCTTTATTATAATAATAAGAATATCATATCATAAAAACAATTTGAATATTTAAACGATTTTGTATATTGTGCAAAAAAATATATTTTGTTCTTTAGTGATTACGTCAATTTTTTCCATGAAGGCGAAAAGATGGCATTCTAATTCTTTTTACAAATATATAGATTGTATTAGTAACATTTGCTTAAAATTTAAAAAATCGGAGAAACTTTTTATTTTTTACAAGTGTTTTAAATTTAGAATGGGGTTTAACCATATTAAAAAAAATATTTTTCATATTTTGGCCCTTGGTATCTCAATATAAGAAGCTATAAAGCTAAAATTTAAACACTGCTTTAGTTTAGTAGGTTGAATATAAAATTTTATCCAAATCCCAAGGAGGTCCCCATAAAAATCATGTTTTTTTGATCGATTTAAGATAGAATGACCTAGCATAAACGTGTTAAGCCCGCCTGTTAACTGAAAATGCTTTTTTATTAATGCCTAATAATAATTTTTTTACAAAATTTATTGTTAAATAAAATTTTGGCAATTGAGATACACTTCAATATCGCTAACCTGATTATATTTATTAAAATATATTAGTAAAAACTTGAGTTTCGGTTAACTTCAAACGTCGAGCCAAATCAGATCTTTCAGAACCGGATAAATATTTTTGAGATTTGAAACGGGTCTCCAATTGATAAACTTGAGCATTTGAAAAAGCCGCTCTGCATCTTTTTTTCTTTTTATCCTTATAAGTGTTACCACCATCTTTGTTGTTTTCGTCTTCAAAAATTTCCAAATTATCTTTCATTATATAAGTAGGGTTGTTTGTTCTGTCACAGTAAAGAAATGATGGTAAAGAGTAGGATGGTTTTTGAGTGCCAAAATGTGGTATATTAATATTGCTGGATGGCGAAGGCGATATGGAATGAAATTTATGGTTAATTTTGGCTAAAGTGACGTGATTAGGGGTTAATTTGTCAATAGTTTTGTAATTATTGGAACCGAGTTTTGAATCATCTTATAAATAAGTTAAATGTTTATAAAAATTAAAGAAAGAAAAAAAGGAAGATAGAAGTTTTATTTGCTAGTAGATAAAATTTAGGAGAAAAAAAATGGAGAAAAAAGGAAAGGAGAGTTATAATTTTTTTAACCACATATTTAGTTAAGCATATAAAATATAAAATATTTTATATGTTTGCATTTATTTAATATTTCGGGGTTATTTATATAAGGTTATTTTAATTTTTGGTAAATTTTAAATTTTTTTTTAGTGAAGATGATTGAATAAAGAATTTAAATTTAAATTATAGTGAAACTTGTAGGCTATCTAATGGTAATCACATGTTGCATTACAATGAAATAAATAAGAGAGCACAAGCGATAAAACTAGTGAGGTAGGAAGACCAATATTTTAAGAACTGCGTTACTATTCGGGTAAAATAAAAAATATTGCCGGTCCTAATTGTGGTGTTTAAAAAATGGAGATAATAGATATTACTAAACGTGTGCGCCGGCGTCGATATGGCTACACCGAAAAACCCCCGTTTATAAAAATAAATCCGATCGACGGCGCATGGTCGGCGCAAAAATTATTTTAAAATATTTTATATATTTTTATTATAATTGGTCAACATCATTGTTGTAAATTTTTTATGCCAATCAGGATTTTGATGAATTAAGTTATTATAATTTTACATATTTTTAAAATGAAGACCCAATGTAAGAAAGGGTGTTTGATAAGGTGAATATGAATACTACTTATGGTTGGGTCATGGTTTACATAGTCTGATTAAAGTGGTAGTATACCTTTTGTTGATAATCTTATCAAAAGAATAAGAGAAATTATTACTGTTCTAAGATATAAGATTGAAGAGATTGTATTTGAGTTCGAGGTAGATTAAAGAAAATGTCAAGTACAATAAATCTAACATAGTATGCTAGATATTGATAGCACTGATTCATACCTGAAAACCGTTTTCAAATTGGGGATTACAATGATGATAATACAGGCGCGTAAGCGGGAATTTGGTCTGAGGGGGGGGGGATAATAAAATTTTTTAAGAAATATTATTGTTTTTTAAAAATATCAAGCATAAATTTATTAGGACTAATAACTATTTCTAATACATAATTTTAAATTTATGTAAATTATAAAAAAATTATATATAAAGAATCACTTAAATGACCCAAAATAGAAATTTGAATTTTTTGAGCCTTTACACAAAAAGTTTCTTAGGAATAATTGCATTTTGTTGTTATATATTTACAATGTAAAATCCAATCTTCATTGTGATTGAGCTAATTTTTCAATTATCTCATCCTTGCTTGTCGTTAAATGCCTATGAATATTCAAAAGATCCACACCTTTCAATCTACTTTCAGATGTTGTACTTCTTGGTATGTTTTTCAGAGACATGCAGGCTCGGCCCCCGGGCTGGACAGAATTTTAATTTTTTTAAATATACCCGGGCCGGGCCCTAATTTTTTTTAAAAAAACACCCAAGCCGGGTCTGAATTATCTTAATACCCAATCCGATTTTTAAAACAGCCTATATTTGAAATCGTTATTATTAGCTATAAAAATCAAAAATTATAATTTATTTTTAAAAAATCCGGGCCGGGCCTGAAAATTTTATTTTAAAAAAGCAGGGCCGGGCCTGAAAAAAAAACCCAGGCCGGGCCGTAAAAAATCTTTAAAAAAATCCGGGCCGTGCCCTGCAAATGGTACTTCTGCAGGCCTCTGTTATTCTTCTTAAAAAAGAGAATGTTCTCTCATTAGTTTACTAATAGGAGTTTATAAACCCTTTTAATACATTAGGAATTTATTCTAAAATGTGTTTGAAATAATGCAGAGCATCCATAGCATTTTTTAGGACTATATCAACCATAGTTAATCTTATAAACATAGTTATTCAGCTAGTAAGGCATCATAAGATACTTTAACATCTTCATAATAAAAATCTAACAAATATTTTTTTTTATCATCTGAAAAAGGTTGGGAAGGCTTTTGTGGAAGTAATATTTGCAGATTAGTAAGTGCTGCATGATGAATTAAAAATTGATTTATTTGGGTTATAAATATATCTGTATTTAAGATATACTCTTCTACTGAGCCTATATTAATGTTTTAAGCCTTGCTACAAATCGAGGGAGACAAATATTAAACACGTGTAGCTCTGTTTTTGACTCAACAATAAAATATAAAATATGAAATTCTTCATCAACATTAGCCCTAATTTCCTTGAGTTCTGATAAAATGCTCTCCGCTATTCTCATCTTCTTAATCAAGTCAATGTCATGTTTTTGAAAAGTAATACTTAAAATAGTTGTATAATTAAATAATACATTCTAATGAGAAATAAAATTTGGAATAACAATTGAATCCAATAATTTTCTTGCTTCTGAGGAAATATTTCTTTCAGGCCATTGTGATATTTCAGTAATAGCAAATAATTGGCTCTTCTAACTCCTTAAAAGCTGTTACTGCTTGATGGCAGAGACTCTATCTCGTTGGACAAGGTTGCAATTTCTTTTTCCCTGTTGGACAAGAAGTTTCAGAAATAATTATTATTTGACTAGAAATTTGAAAATGGTAGATAAATATTACGCCACTAAAAATTTGAAAATAATAAGTAAATATTACGCCGGAAAACTTGAAATCGAAATTAATTGATAAAATAACTTATGAATGTGATAATAAATTTAAATATATATTTAATATGAGATACGAATAAATATTAACAAATATAAATTAATATAAACAATAATATTTTTGAAAAATATATCCGGCATCTGCATTTTTTGGCTTTATATTCAAGAAACAGTTGAATTTATATCTGCACAAAAAGACCTACATTAAAATTGGTTTCACTTTTTAGAAGTGAAGTTGAAACAAATTTAATAGTAAATGTAATAATAGATCAGAAATCATTTCTCTATAGGAAAATATACTAAAAGTTTGCGTTACGATTTCCGGTTTGTGGTCGTTCATCAATTTTATTTATTTTTTTATTTCAAAAATAATCTAGGTGTTAGCCAAAGATTTTAAAAATTGAAAATTAGAGAAAAATTGGTTAACGTCTGAATTTATTATAACACATTTAAAACCTAACATTCAAATGGATAAATTATGATTCCACTTTCAGTGATTTAGAACAAGAATGCTATATTTTTCTAGAAAAACGCCATTCACAAGATATGGATGTTTTAAATTTCTGGAAAGGAAAAGTGGATCGAACTTCCTAATCTACTTATATTAGCTAAAAATATCTTTGGGTTCCAGAAACTAGCAAACTCAGTGAAAGAGTTTCTCTATCACTGGGTTGACGTTGAATTCAAGAAGATCATCATTATGTCCGAAAAATTTAAATAAAATAATTCTTATACATAATAATTATAAAATTACAAAATCGATTTTGAATTTTTAATGAGTTTTCTCTTCAATATAGATTTAAAAATATGCCAAGATATCTGAAGTGTAGTGTATCTTAATTAAAAAATTAATTAGCACTTAAAAAAATATGTTATATAACGGTGCAACGATTTAGGCCGCCTATGTTGACGGCAGTAAAAATTGGCGTGCCATTGGCCGTCGATTAGATTTTTGAAATTCTCGCCGGCCACTATAGATTAGTCGGCGCATAGTTGTAGATATTACACATATAATAAAAGGAGTTACCTATCCCTTAATTATGGATAAATTAAATATTATTATTTTCTGAAAAAAACCGAACATGATAAATTTGGTCATAAGAGAAAGTTGTAACATGTTAAATATCAGAGAAGGATTTCCATAACGAGATAGTTTAAATAACAGTTAAAATATGCAAAATATGTGAGGTGTCAATTTATACGAAAACCTCCCAATCAAAGGAAAAAAACAGCATATAGACGCGTGATGTTTCAAAGGCCGAGAAATGCGTCATTGCACAAAAAATTGTCAGATGAGGTGACTATATGATGGTGAATCTGTTAACAATTAAAAGATTGAAGGTATAAAAAAGGATAGGTATATCCCTTGGCAGGAAATGGAATTTGATAAAAAAAATTTGGGTAGATATAAAAAGATTATTCGCATATATGCCAACACTTAAAAAAAATGAGTTGAAAATTGATTGAAAATGTTTAACCAGATCTATTTTAAAATGTGAAAAAACGAGGGGTAGGTATGAACCTCTTCAAAGGAAAATCAAAGGAGGAAATAGATAGTAACTATTGCAAATTTGGCGATCCTAAATAAATTAAAACATTATATTAAAGTTTTAAACAAATTATCAGTAGTGAATGTGTGAATGTAAATAGTAAACTCTTCGATTTGTGGAGTATAATACTGAGAAAGGTAAAAGTTTATAGAAATATTTTGGCCAAATCGAATGTTAAAAAAGGGGTTATGTGTGGATCTTGATAAAAAATCTGAAAGGTAAGGTAAATATTAATTTTTCGTGTAAAAAATGTAGGCTCCTAAAATTTACTATAAAATGTGAAAGGAGAAGATGAATCCTTGCAAGAAATCCCGAAAGATGAGTCAAAAATGTCTAATCCATTGTCAAACATAAATATAGTTAATTAAAACATTAACTGTTTTAAAAAATTCTTTCGTAAGGATTGTCCTGTTTTAAAAAATTCCTTCGTAATGGCTGTCGGTGATAAACCCAACTTAAGGGATTTTAGAGAATTTGTAAGGTTTTAAAAATATAAAGTTTTATAAAAACTTTGTAAATTTCGTTACTATGATAAAACTGGACATAAGATTATTTAGGATTTTCCCATAGGGGAAACACTATAGGCAATATTAGTAGTTTAGGTCCAACATTTAAGGCTTTTGCTATATTATATTTTTATAAAAATAATTTTAGACATTAATTCAATTTTTAGTAAAAATTGAATAGTTGTTATTTAAAAAGTTTTTAACTTATACTAATTTTTCTTTCAAATTTATCTTTATAGTCATATTCTTTCAAATTTCTCTTTATAGTCATATATTGTATAGATTTTTGGGATAAGGAGGGGGGGGGATT